CATGACAAGTCTGTCTGTCCGTCGGGATGCCTGAGGATTCCTGCTCCCTGCCTTTTCCTGGCCAGCCTGAGAGATCACTGGAAAGGGAGGATTTCTTGACTCCAGAATCCATCATCGCAGACCCGTTTCATTCAGGCCTAGAGATCTGCCCTTTCGCCCAGTCTGCTTGGATCATGTGGATCATCAATGGATTATATGGATCATCCATGATGTCATACCCATCTCACGGAGGGGGGGGCTCAGGAAGAATCTCCTGCCACGTGAGTGGGGGAGTCTGGGGGCTGACTGGGGTCAGACAGCGCTGCTGTTTTGCTCTCCTTACTATTTCAGCTCAGGTTTTCTTGGCAGAAGTTACATTTCATCCAGAAATGGGTAGATTCATTGCGAAACTGGACTAAGCGAAAGCATCAGTTGAAAAGAGGCAAATGTGTCTACTTTGTAACCACCCAATGAGTTGTATTGCAAAGGCCATTTGCAGAAAGGCTCCTATTGTATTGTAGCACCCTGCTTGTGGTTAACGCTTAGCTGGAATGAAATATTCAACGCAGCAACAGAGAAATTAAATAATAATTTATTTGTCAGACAAATAAATGAGAGGCACAGTGGTATATGATTACCAAGCTCTGGCCTGCCTCCTGCCATTATGGCCAGCACTTATATTCCCTTAATCCAGCCCCCTTTGCTCCTCCTTGGGCTGCCTCTGTCCCATCAGCCTGGTTGAAATTCCTATTGGCTGATTAGTATAACCAATCACAAAAATACACTCATATCCTCCTGTCCTTATAAGGGAGACAAAGAGCTATATATAAATGACAAATAAGTAATAATATATCTTACATGGAATCTTAATTACCAGCTCACCTCTTGCCCTCCTTGCCCTACTGCCTTCTAAAACAAATGGTTAATCTTAAATTTTTATCTTAAACATATGTCAAGGATCTTGAGTTTCACATTAATATTGAAAGATCTCCTTCATTTGAAGGTTTCTAAACAAATATCTGACAACTTATATATCAGAATTGCTCGGATGGCGTCTTCTTGTCTGGCAGGGGGCTGGACTCAATGGCCCCTGTGGTCTATTCCAACTCTAGGACTCTATGATTCTATGAAATAAGAATCTAACATCTAAATTTGTTACTTTCTAAATCCTTTGCATAGTTACATTTAAGCCAGCATATTTAATACACAACACAGGTAGCTTCTTTAAAAGAATAACTCAGTAAAAAGGAACACAGTAAAAAAACCGTTTTAAAAGAAGCCTCTTCCCTGTTCATACTTCCCCCCCTTCTCCAGCCAGTTGCTTTCTCTTCCAAGTGCTCTTGACCTTTTGTCCTGTGACTCAAGTTTAAGGCACATGGTTTTATTTACTGTTTACCTACCACTTTTACAACTTAGTTGTACTCTACAGCATGCAAGGTCAGTGACCTGCTTCTCAGCCTTTCTATGACCGCAATAAACCAGGGGGCCCCTTGTCTTAGGAGAATGGCCAAGGTTTTCTCTGCCTGGCATGAAACTTTTGAAAATCTAAGCCCATTTAATTTAGGAACCTGATCAAATATAAGCCAATATAAGTCTTGATTAAAAATGCAGTCTATATTCAGATGCCACAGTATCACCTGCGGCTACATGCCAGAGTTTGGGTGGGTTGTGGAAATGTGTCTGTGTAAATGCACTTATCCCCGTGCATTTATAATGGCAAGACATTAAATCCCATGAGATCCACAAGCACCAAAACCGTAAGCCCACATAGAAGTCCAAAAGCACAAAACGTAGCAGCCCTTAATCCCTGCCTAGCTAGCTGTCAAAAGCTGGGTGTCCAACAACAAGAACATCAACAACTTTTTTTGTCCCCACCCATCAGACCGGATTGCTCCAGCCAAAAGAAGAGAAGAAAATATAACCCAACATAAAACATTAAAAGCTTCCCGATACGGAGCTGCTTTCAGGCGTTTATGGAGGTTTATCTCCTTGACATTTGGTGGGAGAGCGTTCCACAGGGCAGTCACGACAACCGAGAAGGCCCCCTGTAACCTCACTTCTCGCACTGAGGGACCTGCCAGAAGACCCTCGGAGCTGGACCTCAGTGTCCGGGCTGAGCGATGGACGTGGAGACGCTCCTTCCCTTCTACTGGGCTGAGACCATTTGGGGCTTTCAAGGTCAGTGCCAGCACTTTGAATGGTCCTCGGAAAAGGACCGCGAGCCAGTGAAGATATCTTAGGACCCTTGTTCAAGGGACAGCTGTTAGGGGGCCTTTCAGCTGCTGTCCAAAACTGAAGGTATCCCTTGCCGGAAGTAATCCATAAGCCTCTCCTCTTTCGTCTTCTCGGGATGCCATTGGTGCGCGATGCTCCGGCTCTCGAAAGAGGGAAAGGCGTGAGTTGGGTGCGCTCGGCTTGCCAAGGGTTAAACGGAAATGAGCTAGATTCCTGGAGAGGAAAGTAAGACGGGGGGGGGCAGGGTCCTCCAGAGCGAAAGCCCAACCCCTCCCTTTCCTGCAAGAAGTCGGGCGTGTGGGGGTCCCGTTGGTTCGGCTCTGCTGGGATCCGGTGCGTCTCCTCTCTCCCAGGATAGGGCCCATGGGAAGAGCGGGGGTCCCAGCGCTGCATGGCGAGAGGGGGGCAAGTCAGGGCGCGGAGGGTCGCAGGAGGGCGGCAGCTCTGCTCTTCCTTTTCATGGATGCGCAGCTGGCCCCTTGGATCCAGGAGTGGGGAAATGCATGCAGATATACCCCATTCAGATGTATGGATCAGTCCCCTTGTATAACAGAGGTCGTCCGCGGATGGAAACATTTGGACATGAAATATACCCTGATCCCTAAAACCTCACCTGTGAAAGAAGAAGGAAGGAAGGCAGAGAAGAGAAAGCGCTTCCTCTTGCAGGGCAGAATAAAACCTGTGGAACTCCCTCCCACAAGAGGCAGAGGCCACCAATCAAGGTGGTGTTAAAAGAGGAGGAGGCCAATCTGTGGAGGAGGAGAGGGCAATGGGCGGCTCCTCTTCTCTGTCTCCCCTATAGGAGGGAGGCCTCTGGCCTGATCCTGCAGGGCCCGTTTTCTCCTCCAGTGCTCAGTTCCTCCAGATGCAAGTTTGCCCTCTGAGATTGCCTGAGGTTGAGCTAGATGATCCTTGGGGTGCCATCCACCTCTATAGTTCCATGAAAGCACCACTGGAGGTCTCACAAGCCAAGGCATTGAGAGCAGGAGAGGTCCTGCTGGAAAGGAAACAACCAGTGCAACTGTTTTAAAACAGGAATCCAATGTGTTAGTTGTGGGGGGACTCAGTGGGGAGGGGCAGACCCCTGGATGCCGCCTTGATCTCCTTGGGCAAAGAGGTGGGAGAGAAATGCCATTCATAAAGAGAGGCAGCCCAGCCAATCATCTGGCTGCTGCATTTTGGGCCAGTTCCAGAGTCGCCTTCAAGGCAGTTCCACACAGAGAGCGTTGCCACCATCCCATCTGGTGCAGAGAGGACCAGGGCCATGTCCTCTTTGTCCCAAAAGTCTGTGGGGTGGGGAATTAGCCTGAGCTGGACATGGGCCTCAAGCGACCATGATGGACCCAGGAGTGCCCTCAAGTATTCATGACGGGGGAGGGGGAGCGTTAAGCAATGTAACATCATCATTGTTATTGCTTGTTCCCTGCCCATCACCCGAATTTCCAAGAGCTGATTACTAAATATAAAAAACAGCAATAAGAACAGTTGAAAACAGATTACACACTTAGAAAGGTGAGTCCCACTTTATTTGCTTTTGAGTGCACACAGATGCACCCGTCTTGCATGCTTGAGTAGAGCTACTCCAGAGAATGAGCTAAGTATCGGCAGGGTAGGGGCCACGTGCAGAGCAAGTCCCACACTGAGGTCAAAAACACACACAGAGGCAGCAGGACTTCTTCAGTAATAGTTTACTGAGCTTTCAAAGCATACAGTTCTCATTGGGTCCCCAGTGAGGCACAAAACGTAGCTCCTGAGAGCAAATCCAGATGCAGCAGTAAAAAAATACAGCACACAGGATATCCAAGTCAGGCACACAAACCGGCAGAAGGGAGCAAGGGAGGAAAGAGGCTGGAAGGACACAGGGCAATGGAGGTGTGTCTTTTGCTTCCTGTCATCTGGGAGGGAAGTCAGCAACTCGGCATCTGCAGGGGCTTCATGAAGAAAAGCTTTCTGCCGGCTGCTTCCAGGCAAATCAGCATCCCAGAAACACAGTCTGATCTGTGGGCTGTTGCTATATCCATTGTTTTTGGAAGGTTATCACGATGTGGTCTAGAAACCAGTATAGAACATTATATCGCCCAGCCCTAATCCTCACTGACCACCAGCAGTCCAGATAAACCCTCACCCCTTCTCTATCAAAAGGTACTTTACATGCTAGATTATAATCACATTGTTTGACATTGCCTTCAATATTTCATTACTATGCAGTTTTACACATAAGTACCAGAACTTCAAATACACAACATGTATTAAAGACTGATTTCCTCCTGAGTTCATTTCTGTGAAGAAAAGAGTGGACTCTGAGCGGAAACCAGAACACAGTTTCCCTTCCCGCTGGAGCGGTACCTATTTATCTGCTTGCACTTTGACGTGCTTTTGAACTACTAGGTTGGCAGGAGCTGGGACCGAGCAACGGGAGCTCACCCCGTTGTGGGGATTCGAACCGCCGACCTTCTGATCGGCAAGTCCTAGGCTCTGTGCTTTAACCCACAGCGCCACCAGCGTCCCTGTTCCTTAAATACTCCATTATAAATAAAGCACTTTCTGTAGTCTTTTCATTCAAACTGCTTCTCCTGAGTTTGTTGATGGTTTGAAGGGTTTCAATTCTTAAAGTTCTTCCTGTCCATAAGTCTGTTGATTCTGAACTTCCACTAAGAGTGAACCTCTATCTACTTTCCTGATATTTATATGGTTTGTCTTTTGTATGAGTTTGTTGACAAAAATCAAGGGTTCCACTCTGACTGATGCTCCTTCCACAGTCCATACCTTTAAATGGTTTCTCCCATGTGTGTCCGCTGATGATTTCTAAGGTGTGCACTCTGACTGAAGCTCTTTCCACACTCCATGCATTTAAATGGTTTCTCTCCTGTGTGAGTCCGTTGATGTTTCCTAAGGCTTCCACTATAACTAAAGCTTTTTCCACACTCGATACATTTATATGGTTTCTCCCCTGTGTGAGTCCGTTGATGTCGTCTAAGGCTTGCACTGAAACTGAAGCACTTTCCACACTCCACACATTTAAATGGTTTCTCCCCTATGTGAGTCCGTTGATGGTTCCTAAGGTCTCCACTCTGACTGAAGCTCTTTCCACACTCGATACATTTATATGGTTTCTTCCCTGTGTGAGTCCATTGATGCTTCCTAAGGTTTCCAATTTGACTAAAGCGCTTTCCACACTCGATACATTTATATGGTTTCTCCCCTGTGTGAGTCCGTTGATGGTTCCTAAGGTTTCCATTATCACTAAAGCTCTTTCCACACTCGATACATTTATATGGTTTCTTCCCTGTGTGAGTCCGTTGATGTCGTCTAAAGTTTCCAATTTTACCAAAGCTGTTTCCACACTCGATACATTTATATGGTTTCTCCCCTGTGTGTGTCCGTTGATGTATTTTAAGGTGTTCACTCTGACTGAAGCTCTTTCCACACTCGATACATTTATATGGTTTCTCCCCTGTGTGAGTCCGTTGATGTGATCTAAGGCTTCCATTATCACTAAAGCTCTTTCCACACTCCATGCATTTAAATGGTTTCTCCCCTGTGTGAATCCGTTGATGTCTTCTAAGGTATCCACTATCACTAAAGCTCTTTTCACACTCCATACATTTATATGGTTTCTCCCCTGTGTGAATCCGTTGATGTCTTCTAAGGTATCCACTATCACGAAAACTCTTTTCACACTCCATACATTTATATGGTTTCTCCCCTGTATGAGTCCGTTGATGTGATCTAAGGCTTGTATTACAATGGAAGCTCTTTCCACACTCGATACATTTAAATGGTTTCTCCCCTGTGTGAGTCCGTTTGTGCAATTTAAGGTGTCTACTCTGACTGAAGTTCTTCCCACACTCCCTGCACGTAAAACGTTTTCTCTCTGTGTGAGTCCGCTGGTGTGTTCTAAGTTTTGCATTGATACAGAAGCTCTTTCCGCACTCCATATCTTTAAATGGGTTCTTTCCTTTTTGTGTTCGTTGATGCGAACTATGTGTGCTCATTCAGTGAAGCATATTCCACATTTCACACATTTTAATGGCTATTCCTAATGAAATGAAAGGTGCCTTGTCCCCTGCAATTCTGTCTTCTCCATCATCTTTTTCAGAGTGGGCAGAAAGGAAATCCTGTTTGGGTTTCAAGGAAGAGAACAAAGGGGGGAAAGGGCACATCAACCGCCATTAGCACCTTCTCTTATTTCAACATCTCCTACATTCTCCCATGTCCTACCCATGTTCCCAATTTTTAGGAAATAAAAATTGTATGATGTCAAATGGTAGTAATGTATCAGCAACCTTTCATAATCCTCAATCATCTTTAATAACACAGCATGATCTTGGAATACTGTTGTCCTCTGAGACTGCATTTCAAATCAAGTGATTGCCCCCGTTTCCACCTCTAGATCTTCATGAATCACCTGCATAGTCCCACTGACCTCAGGAGGTCCATATGGACCATTTTGGGAGACCCAGGCCTTCATCTCTTCCAGGGACTGTGGTCTGGGTCAGTCAGAGAACTAGTGACAAGGCTAGGTGCTTGGGGTCAGCTCAATGGGTGCTCAGGGAAGTTCCTGTTCTTGGAGATGGACCTCCATCTACATGCCTCACATTGCATGGAGAGAGCAGGAGAAGAAGAAGGGAAGCAGCTGGCACATGGGAATCCCAGGCGGAAACACCCACCCCAATGGTTCTTTATAATAATGATGTGCTGCCTGATCCTGTGCTTGTCTTCTGACAGAGGACTGTCCTAATCTGGCACTGAAAAGCAGGATATTCAAGGCAAGGAGATAACTGTACTTAATGGTAGGTAGCCATATTGTTCTGACACAGCTGAAGTAAAAAAGTAATAAAAATAGTCCCGCAGCACCTTAGGATCTTGGAAGAAAAGCAATGAGAAACCTAGACAGCATCTTAAAATGCAGAAACATCACCTTGCCAACAAAGGTCCGTATAGTTAAAGCTATGGTTTTCCCAGTTGTGATGTATGGAAGTGAGAGCTGGACCATCAAGAAGGCTGATCACTGAAGAATTGGTACTTTTGAATTCTGGTGCTGGATGAGATTCTTGAGAGTCCCATGGACTGCAAGGAGATCCAACCTCACCATTCTTAAGGAAATCAGCCCTGACTGCTCACTGGAAGGACAGATCCTGAAGCTGAGGCTCCAAGACATTGGCCACCTCATGAGAAGAGAAGACTCCCTGGAAAAGACCCTGATGCTGGGAAAGATGGAGGGCACAAGGAGAAAGGGAAGACAGAGGACGAGATGGTGGGACAGTGTTCTCGAAGACAGGAGGGCTTGGCGTGCTCTGGTCCATGGGGTCACGAAGAGTCTGACACGACTAATCGACTAAACAACAACAACAGCAACTTAGGGACCAACTAAGTTTGTTTGAGGTCTAAGCTTTTGTGTGCATGCACACTTCTTCATATAGTGATGGGTAGTGGGAGATGGAAGTAGGAGTACCTTTCTGAGAAAAACCCCACCCCACCCTCCCACGATATACAAGGGTCTGGTGACATCTGTGTCAGTGTATCTGAAGAAGTGTGCATGCACACGAAAGCTTATATCTAGAACAAACCTAGTTGGTCTATAAGGTTCCACTGGACTCTTTTTTAATTTTTTATTTCAACTGTGTCAGACCAATACGGCTACCTACCTGAATCTAGATGTCATGGGGTGTTGGGGATAAGTAGTTCCTTTGGTGGGGGGCATGTCCTGCACCTTCTGGGGTCATTTTTCCACCCTTGGTCCCCACCCTGCACTCAGCTCTCACCTGTGGCTTCCAGAAGCTGTCAGCATGCAACAGGGGTTCAAACAACGGCTTCAACCGGCCGGCTAAACCAGGTGAGGAAAGCTGATGGGTCTCAAATCCTTGGGGGCCTGGGGAATTCTGCTGCACCTGAAGTCAAGCCCTGGTGGATGGAGAGGAGGAGAACAACCGTGAATCCCACAGTCCAGAAGGCAGATTCTGCCCGTGCGGAAGAGGAACGTGAAGGGCAGGTGGGGCACGTCCACCTGGAGGCTTGTTATCTAGTCCCAGGGTTACTCTGACCTTGAACTATATATAAATTACAGTATTGAAATGCGCCTGCTCCCACTTCCTATTCTGCTATTCTCTACTCTTCTTGTGTCTTTCTTACTTGAGTGCTGTTTTGGTTTGCTAAGTCAGGGTTTTACTGTGAGTTACATTTTTGCTATTTTTTGGCTCCTGTCATGCTTATCTGTCTTCAGTAATAAATTTCTCAGCTGAATTATTTTTTTCTGCCTCTGAGTGTTTTCTCCTACTCTGCTATCTATTCATCGATCATTATGGAGGAGCAAGATCTGCAGCCTAAAGCCCTCATCAGCCTCGGCCCTGTGGACCTGACGGAGCATCTTCACCCCCATCGTTCAGTCCGGACAGGGAGGTCTGCCTCCGAGGGTCTTCTGCTGGTTCCCTTGCTGTTAGAAGTGAAGTTCCAGGGAACCAGGCAGAGGGCCTCCTGCCCCATGGAATGCCCTCCCTTCCGAGGGCAAGGAGGTAGGCAACCATCTGACATTTAGAAGACAGCTGTATCAGGAGGTTTTTAATGTTGGATGTTTTACTGTCTTGTATATGTTCTGTAGGGACGTGGGTGGCGTTGTGGGTTAAACCACAGAGCCTACGACTGATTACAAGGTCGGCAGTTCGAATCCCCACAACAGGGTGAGCTCCCGTTGCTCAGTCCCTGTTCCTTCCAACCTAGCAGTTTGAAATCACGTCAAAGTGCAACTAGATAAATAGGTCCCGCTCCGGTGGGAAGGTAAACGGTGTTTCCGTGCGCTGCTCTGGTTTGCCAGAAGCGGCTTAGTCATGCTGGCCACATGACCTGGAAGTTGTACACCGGCTCCCTCGGCCAATAAAGCGAGATGAGTGCCACAACCCCAGAGTCTGCCACAACTAGACCTAATGGTGAGGGGTCCCTTTAGTAAAGGTAAAGGTACCCCTGCGCGTACGGGCCATTCGTGTCCGACTCTAGGGTTGTGCGCCCATCTCACTTAAGAGGCCGGGGGCAGCGCTGTCCAGAGACACTTCCAGGTCACGTGGCCAGCGTGACGAAGCTGCTCTGGCGAGCCAGCACCAGCGCAGCACACGGAAACGCCGTTTACCTTCCCGCTATAAAGCGGTACCTGTTTATCTACTTGCACTTAAGGGTGCTTTCGAACTGCTAGGTGGGCAGGAGCTGGGACCAAAGATGGGAGCTCACCCCGTTGTGGGGATTCGAACCGCCGACCATGCAATCGGCAAGCCCTAAGCACTGAGGTTTTACCCACAGCGCCACCCCATAGGGGTCCCTATACCTTTACCTATATGTACTGTAAGCTGCCCAGATCGGCTGGGGGAAAATACTAATACTAGAACTTCTACAGTGGTATCTCAGGTTACAGACGCTTCAGGTTACAGACTCTGCTAACCCAGAAATAGTACCTTGGGTTAAGAACTTTGCTTCAGGATGAGAACAGAAATTGTGCGGCAGCAGGAGGAGGCCCCATTAGCTAAAGTGGTACCACAGGTTAAGAACAGTTTCAGGTTAAGAACGGACCTCCAGAATGAATTCAGTTCTTAACCTGAGGTACCACTGTACTATTATTATTATCGTGTGATTTTTTGTAGTTATTTTGGATTTTTTACTGTAATATCAGCTTACGAAATTTTATGGGTGGAGAAAATCACAGGGTTGCCGTAAACTATAATCCCACCCACAAACTCTCATTCACACACAGTCTGTAAATTTGGGAATGACACACACCTCACCTGTACTAATACTGGCAGTCTTGGGCCTGCACAGGCACACACGGTGTGTAGAGCCTCCAGCCACAGGCACTGTCTATCATGAAAATGGGTCCTTTGACTGGGAAGATTCATGCAGTCACTGTCATCGGATGATGATGGGTTGTATCTCAGCTTGTCAGTCACTCTGATATTGGCTACAAAGAATGAGAGGAACAGAAATGCTTTTGAGGTGCAGCTTCTATATCAATCCTGAGAGCCATTCCATGGACTCTGCAGCCCTGTTTCTGATGACAGGTGTACATTATCCTCATCCTCAGTGGAAAAGACATTAAAGATGGAAGCCTGAGAGAGAGGAAAAGGTTTCTGGCTGCTTCCTGGGTGGGATTGGGGAAACCAAGAGCAGCTTCTGAGAAGGCCTCTCCCCTCCCCTCTTCCTCTCGGGATTTCCTCTCCTCTCCAGGGGACCAATGGCTGGACTGGGCAGAATCGCTGTGTCTGGACAGGGCAGGGACTTATGGGGTGGGAAGAGGATAGAGATTGCAGGAAAGAAGGGTGGGAGGACAGGACCCCCCACTTTCCAGGGATCCCTCTCTGGTCGCCTTAAAGGGGGGGCATTCCTGGGCGGGAGGGGAAAGCCAAGGCGGCCCCTCCGGAGAGTCCCCAAGGAAGCCACGATGGAGACGCCCCCCCAAGACTGGTCTTCCTATCTCCCCCCCCCCAGTGCTGCCCTTCCCTGCCCCGGGAATGCTGCCCCCTCCTCCCCCCGGCCCTGCCCTCCCATCCCGGGGTCTCCCCTGCACCCAGACGCCCCCTTGGCCCGGCTCACCCCTCGCCCTGCGCCCCCCATCTCTCCGTCCCTATTGCCCCCCAAGACGAGCAAGGGGGACAGGGGGGCTCTATCCTGGCTTCTCTCACGCCCCTTAACCCTTTCATGGGATGCGCGGAGCCTGGGAAACGGGGCGAGGGGTCCGCCCTGCGAGGAAAGCCCCGGAAAAAGGTAAAAGGCGGATCTACACGGATCCTCGTGAATTCATATGATTTTTTCATTCAAATTAAATAAAACCACCATGATATTGTAGACCATATCTTACTCTGTAGAAAGCATAAAAAAAATCACGCATCCACTGTTTCGGGGGGGCGCAGGGGCGCAAAAACATGGTTAAAAAACACGGATCCTCATGGATCCTCATGAT